ATAGATAGATAGATAGATAGATAGATAGATAGATAGATAGATAGATATAGATAGATAGATAGATAGATAGATGTAGGTAGGTAGGCAGATAGGCAGACAGACCCAGGGTCCTTTGATGCTCTCTGAACTTGGCTGTTTTCTTGCAGTCATTCCATGACCCAACTAGGTAATACCATCAGTGCACCTACCTCATAGATTAAGCACTGGAAGATGGTGAACAAAGTGAGAGCCACTGCATGGAGGCTGAAAAACACATCGTTGCTAGCTACGGGATTCACGCCATTGGGATACTGGTGCAGGAACTGTTCCTATGGAGGAAGGCAAAGATGTTACGCCGAAATTGGCCCAAGATGGCAGATGACTCCCAGCCGGACAAGACGGGACCTGGTACCTTTATGGGGACAATCCAAAAGAGTCCGATGTTGAAGACGCTGTAGGCGATGAAGCCGGTCAGGTTCAGAGCGATGAAATCGAAACTGAGCCCCACAACGCTGGCAAAAGGAACAGGTAAATGTTGAGAAGAACGGTTGTGGGAGCAACCTGAGCTAGATTTCGGGAACTTCACAAGTGCACTAAAGTCAGCATTTTCTGATCGCGATTGTCAATTAGCTGGGAAAAATCCCGCTTCTAGGCCAGTGTTTTCCAAACTTGCCAACTTTAAAACAAGCGGAATTCAATTCCCAGAATTCCCTAGCCAACCCACTTTAAGATGGATGGACATCCACTCCCAGAATCCCCCAGCCAGGATGCTTTAAGATGAATGGACTTCCACTCCCAGAATCCCCCAGCCAGTCTGCTTTAAGAGGGGAGGACTTCCATTCCCAGAATCCCCCCAGCCAGGATGCTTTAAGAGGGGAGGACTTCCACTCCCAGAATCCCCCAGCCAGCCTGCTTTAAGGGGGTGGACTTCCACTCCCAGAATCCCCCAGCCAGCTTGCTTTAAGACGTGACCACAATTTGTTTTCCAGCAGAAAATGGCAAATACCACCAAGAGGATATACTGGGTTGCTTTAACAACCACGTGTTTGCTTAACAGCTACCCAATTTGCTTAATGACCATTTTGGAGACTCATTTTACCAACATCATAAAAATGGTGATAGAATCGAGTCTGATTACCTGAGGCCTCAATTTAGACCACAGTGACTTATGAGCCAAATTCCAGGCTCCATTATGACTACAAATCATGATCACCTGAACACCTGTTTTTTTGGGGCGGGGGTAACAAAGGAGCAACATGCTTTAACGGATGGAAATATGAACCTGGCCAATTTTTGCTCGGCTTCAGGGACAAAAATTAAAACGTGCGGAATCGTCGTGCCATGCCAACTGCTATTGGGCCATCTGGTAAATTCCAGAGGATGGCAACTGAGGATCGTTGGGTCTTTTACCTTTTGCGTCTCCAATTCTCAAACACCTGAGGGTAGAAGGAAACCGACCAGGCTAGGAAGTAGATCCAACCGATCACTTGGTCCACAATCCTAATGGCGTTGCTGTGGATCACAAGGAACCGGATTCTGGGCCTGCAGAAGAACGAGAGAGAGAGAGAGAGGTTATGTTTGTGGGAACGTTCTAGGCTAATGACTTGCTTGGCGCCGCCCTCTCGGCTCTTCCTCATCTCCTCCTACTATTCCACCACTGGTTCGCACAGACGCAACACAGCCTCAGTTGGAGGTGGAGGACTAAAGTGCCTGGAGTACAGAGACCGAAAAATGGCCACTAAGTGAAATTACATCTCGATGAAGGGAATTACCGGCTGAATATGGCTCGGGATGGATGCATCTTACTCCAGGGGTGGGGTTCAAATTTTTTAACAACCGGTTCTGTGGGCGTGGCTTAGGTGGTGGGCATTGCTTGGTGGTCATGTGACTGGGTGGATGTGGCTTGGTGGTCATTTTATTGGCTGGGTGCGGCCAACTCAATATTACTCACATCGAGGCACGCATCTCCTTGCCTGGCCTCTCGTGACTGTGGGGATGCTGCAACAGTCGTAAGTGTGAAAAAGGGTCATAAGTCACTTTTTTCAGTGCCATTGTAACTTTGAATGGTCACTCCACACAAGCAAAGTACCAGCAAAGGAGGGGGAAAAAACTCCAGAGAAGTTCCAGAGACAGGAAGTCTAGTCCTGCCAAGAATGTAATAAGGGTTAACGGAGAGGCAGTTTCTGTAAGCAACACCAGAATGTTTCCTTCCTGCCTTCCTTACAGGATTAGCCCTGTAATTTCTTCTAACAACCGGTTCTCCGAACTGCTTAGAATGTTAACAACCGGTTCTAGCGAATAGGTGTGAACTGCTAGAATCCCACCTCTGCTTACCCTGTGTCATGGGATGCGTTCACCTGTAGATATACCGTCACCTGCCCGACCTCTTTAGCTTTCACAAGGAAATGTGCCTCCTTTTGGCCTGCTGCAATTATGACCTGTCAGGGATGGAGACATAAAATATATGTACTGTCAATGAAATTCAAGGGATGGGCTTGTGGCCAGATGGATGTCAATCCGGCCATTCTTTTCGGCTGATCCAGGTAGACCTTGTCTCCACCTTGTCTTAGTGTTTTTCAACCCTGGCAACTTTAATGGGTGGACTTCAACTCCCAGAATTCCCTGGCCAGCCATGCTTAAAACAGGGATTCTGGGAGTTGAAGTCTACATGGCTTCAAGCGTGAAGTCCACCCCAATTTAAAGCAGGCTGGCTGGGGAATTCTGGGAGTGGAAGTCCACCCATCTTAAATCCTACTGGCTGGGTTGAAATTACAATAGTTGCTAAGCAATCAGTCATAAGTTGAGGACTATAGATGGACCTCAACTTATGACCAAATGGAAGCCCAAATTTCTGTTGCTAAGCAAGACAGTGGTTAAGTGAGACTTGCCCCAAATTGCGACCTCTCTTGGCACCATTATTAAGTGATCCACTGCAGTTGGTAAGTTAGAAACCCAGTTGTTAAGCTAATCTGGCTTCCCCATTGGCTTTGCTTGTCAGAAGGTCCCAAAAGGGGATCACGTGACCCAGGGATGCTGCAACCATCATAAGTACATGCCAGTTGCCAAGCGTCCTAATTTTGATCATGTGACCATGGAGATTCTACAACCGTCGTATGAAAAATGGCCGTCTCATTTTTCATTGCTATTATAATTTCAGCCGGTCAGTAAGCGAATGGGGGGGGGGGGTAAGCTAGAGGACTATTTCTATCTACACCACAAAATGTAACAGACTGAAAGGATTGATCTAATCCAGGGGTCCTTAAAGTTGACTGCTTTAAGACTTGTGGACTTCAACTCCCAGAATTCCTCCTCCAGTCATGTTAGCTCAGGAATTCTGGGAATCTTAAACTTGCCAAGTTTGAAGACCCTTGGAATCGAGAATAGAATAAGAATAGAATAAGAATTTGAATAGAATAGAATAGAATAGAATAGAATAGAATAGAATAGAATAGAATAGAATAGAATAGAATAGAAGAATAGAGCAGGGGTCTTCAAACTTGACAGCTTTAAGACTTGTGGACTTCAACTCCCAGAATTCCTCCTCCAGTCATGTTAGCTCAGGAATTCTGGGAATCTTAAACTTGCCAAGTTTGAAGACCCTTGGAATCGAGAATAGAATAAGAATAGAATAAGAATTTGAATAGAATAGAATAGAATAGAATAGAATAGAAGAATAGAGCAGGGGTCTTCAAACTAGCTTTAAGACTTGTGGACTTCAACTCCCAGAATTCCTCCTCCGGTCATGTTAGCTCAGGAATTCTGGGAGGTGAAGTCCACAAGTCTTAAACTTGCCAAGTTTGAAAACCTTGGAATAGAGAATAAGAATAAGAATAGAATAGAAGAATTTGAATAGAATAGAATAAGAATAAGATTTTTAGAATCGAATAGAGAATAGAAGAATAGAATTTGAATAAGAATTTTAGAATATAGAATTTTAAAATAGAAATAAGAATTTTAAAATAGAATAGAATAGAGAATAGAGCAGGGGTCTTCCAACTTAGCAGCTTTAAGACTTGTGGACTTCAACTCCCAGAATTCCTCCTCCATCCATGTTAGCTCAGGAATTCTGGGAGTTGACATCCACAAGTCTTAAAGCTGCCAAGTTTGAAGACCCTTGATCTAATCCAATCCAAGCAGGCCAAAATCTACATCAAAAACTTACCTGGTTGGGCAATTCAACAATCGTGACGTTCTCCTTGGATGTATAGGTCATGTTGAACCTTACCGCCAAAGTCTCATTGGGTGGAGCCCTGCAGGGACATCCGAAAATGAAAATGGCATAGATGGGCAGTGAACACGCAACTGGGAGAATTCGCACCCTCAGTGTCAGCGTTCCAACGAAACTCCCGGTTTCATTCAGCACTCAGAAACAAACTTCATCCAAGTAAGAATTTATTACAGTTGTCACATTGGCGCTGTCAACTCATAAAATAATTCTATGGTCTTTTAGAGATGCCAACAGAAAGGGAGCGGGGATCAGTATGAGAGCTTGCAACCAAAACAGCATTCCATAAAAGTTTTCAAAGATGGTAACTAGGTGGATTAGGTAGATTAATCCAAAAAGAAACCCCAACCAAAATCCAAGACAGAGAACAAGAGAACGTCAAAGCCCTCCTCCCATGTATAAAAGGCACTACAGACAAAACCAGCAAGATCCTCCAAAAACACAACATCAAAACAGCATTCTGCACAAACAGAAAAATATCCACCATCCTAAGAAACCCCAAAGACAAAATCGAGTTAGAAAACCAAGGAGTATACGAAATCCCTTGCACCGCCTGCCCCACCACATACATTGGACAAACTAACAGAAGAATAAGTGCACGCGTTGAAGAACACAAGAACTCAATCAAAAAAGAAGAACCGACCTCTTCCCTGGTCCAACACCTCAAAGACACAGGACATGAGATTGACTTTAAAAATACCAGAACTATCGCCAAAACCCAACACTTCAACAACAGAACAATCAGAGAAGCCATAGAGATAGAAAAACGCCCACACAGCATGAATAAACGAGATGACACCTCCCGCCTACCAGCCATTTGGAAACCCGCCCTCATGAACAGACGAGTACCTAACATGAAGAATGACACCAGACCCACACCCACGAAGGCCACACAAGATGCTACCACCACACTTCCACGTAGAAAGCAGACTCACACCCATACGGGAGACACGACCATGGACCAGAAGCCGCACTGCAGCTGCATCACTACCCGCCTCAAACCCCTCCGACTCATTCATGAAGCGAACTGACGCCCACCATGAAGATGCGGCACGACCACGAACACGAAGCCAAACAGCAGGATCACAGCTCACCAGCTCAAATCCCCCAGCAACTAAGACTAACCTGAGCACAACCAAGCCCCCACCTGAACAGAACACGCCTCCAACCAATCAGAACACGGCTAACCCCCCAACCAATCAGAACACAGCCAAACCCCCTACCAATGAGAACACACCCCCACCCAATCAGAACACAGCCAAGCCCCCACCCAATCAAGTCACACCCCCACTAGCAGTTAAAAGGAAGAAGCAGCTGCAAGCTCACATTACTCTGAGAAGCACAGAGCTGAAGACACAAGCCTGAAGATGATGAATGAGAATTCATCAAAACGTTGCCTAGATACTTTCAATTTTACGCGGGAGAAAACCCGAATAACCAAAGATCCACATACAAATACCCGCGAGAACCTCAGAAAATAGATAGATAGATAGATAGATAGATAGATAGATAGATAGATAGATAGATAGATAGATAGGAGAAACTATCCACTATGATCCACTATTGACCTCACCCCATTCCTAAGCGGTAAGAGGCGTGCATAAGTGCACCATCATGGCTACCGTCGCTGTCCTATTGCCCCCATTTTTTCCTACCTATTTCCTGTATTCATACTCATGTTTATTCTTATACCTATTATCTTGTAAGCGATTGACAAATCAAATAAGTAAATAAAATAAAATCTAGCCCTGCTGATGGGCCCAGCCCTGCTATTACCGGCTGGGCCGACATGACAATTAGGACTGACTGCACGATAACATCATCCTACAAATCACGCCCAGATGGAAAGTCCCCACAGAACAAAGAAAACTGAATTTTTTATATCCCCGCGAGTGACTGCATCCCAAATGACTTGGCCTGATTAGCACTTCCTGGGTTTTCCCGCCAGGTGTGTTTGTTGACCTTGAGGTGGCTTACCTGAAGGTGAGTGTGATTTTTTGCACGCTGTGGTTTTCCAGGCAAACTTCTCCAGGAGCAGAGAAAACGGGGGGTCCATCTTCAACTGGGGAAAAAAAAATGTCGGCTTTGAAGTCCCTTTTTCATCCCACATCCCCGGCTTTGGATAAGGATAATTTGATTTGGCAGAATTGGAGCCCACATAACCTGGTCCATTTAAGAGACTGGCATGGGAGCTCCCCCTGATCTAAGCTCGAGGCCTGGAAGAGGTTGCCCTTTGGGTGTGACGCCTCCAATTTTCCATGTCGCCCTTCTCTGACTGTAGCCCAAGCAGGGTCCAACTTTGACAACGTTGAGATTGGTGGATTTCAACTGCCAGATTTCCTCAGGGCTGGTTGAGGAATTCTGGGAGTTGGAAGTCTACAAGTCTTAAAAGTTGCCAAGGTTGGAGATTCCTGATATAGACAGTGGTTTTCAATGTTGGCAGCTTTAAAATGTGCCTATTTCAACTTCAAATCAAGATGGATGGATGGAAGAGAAGGAAGGAAGGAAGGAAGGAAGGAAGGAAGGAAGGAAGGAAGGAAGGAAGGAAGGAAGGAAGGAAGGAAGGAAGATAAGAAAAATGGGAGGAGAGAAGGAAGGGAGGAGAAGGATGGGGAGAGGAAAAGGAAAGAAGGAAGGATGAGAAAGAAGGAAAATGGGAGGAAGGAAGGAAGGATAGGGGGAGGAGAAAGGAAAGGAAAGGGAGGTAGGGAGAGAGGGAGAAGGAGGGATGAGAAAAAAGGGAAAAGGGAGGAGAGGGGAAGGAAGGAAGGAAGGAAGGAAGGAAGGAAGGAAGGAAGGAAGGAAGGAAGGAAGGAAGGAAGGAAGGAAGGAAGAAAGTGGAAAGGAGGGAGAAAAGATTTTGGCTAGGGAATTCTGGAAATTGAAGTCTACAGGTCTTCAAATTGCCCAGACTGGACTCCCAGGCTATCGCCCAAACATTAAAAAGAGATACTCAATATCCTCAACAATCTGACTCTAGATTTAGGGATATAGCTTTGAAAGATCTCATTTGCATCCATGCATGCATAAATAGGAGCAGGTGCTGCAAAGGGAAGACAAACCTAACAAGCTTTTTATGTAAAGCAGTGATTTTCAAACATGGCAACTTAAATCTGGGTGAACCCCAACTCCCAGAATCCCCCAGCCAGGCTGCTTTAAGAGGGGAGGACTTCCACTCCCAGAATCCCCCAGCCAGC